CGTGCGCTTCATATGTTCTTTGTAAATGTAATATTGTACAGCGCATTGAGCACTTTTTTGTGGAAATGCGCTTTATAAATGCAATTTATTATTTATTATTATCATATATAGATACACCAACATTATGAGATTACTATGTTGTTGTTGTTTTTAATATATTGAAGGTAATTTGTTGTGGTTGTTTATGGTCACGATGGAAATTGTTTGTACTTAACGTGTTTCGCTGTTGTTGTTAATTTGTAATTGATGTTGATGGCGCTATTGTCTTATTGATGCGGATGCTTTGGCAACAGTGGTTGTAATCATACTGACACAGTGTTATCAGACGGTGCTGCTGTTGTTGATGTTGTCATTAATTGTTACAGTTTCTTCGTTTGCGCTAGAAGCGGTGGTGATGTTAATCTGAGGCGATTATAATACCTTTTATATTGGTGGTAGCGATAATGTTGCCAGCTTTGTTGTTGGACGAGAGCGTATAGCTGTGAAAGGGTGAGAGATGATGTTCTTGGTGCAGTGTGGTGGTGGTGGTCTCTGGTATGCTGCGTATACCATTCACTAAAATGAAATGTTTTGAACGTCCCTTTCAGCACCGTTATTTTATTTAAGATGAGGGACCTCCGAGTTTAAAGTCTGTCTCCGAATAGACCAAGCGAAATAGGAAATTCGTGTGAAGGTCGGACACATTATTAATCTAAATTTTCTAATACATGTACCACCAAAAAGCTGAGCTGACAGGACAGACGTCGGGTTAAGGGAAGTAATCCGTGCATAACTAACATGTACGCTCAATCATTATTAGTAGTATTTTCCCCTCGATCATGCATTGCATTGACTTCTCATAATCCCAAACAAAAGGCGAAACTGTGAGGAAGGATAAGAAAGAGGAAATGTACAGTCGAATCAGCTCACAGATGGCCACCTGTATAAGACAACAACAGCACAAACAACCACTTTACACCCTCCACCCCCCTCCTAGTTTTTTTCCATTATACTGAGCAGGTCAGTTGCCAAGTTCCTACCCAAAACTGTCGCCTATCAACCTAGAGGTCTGAAGTTCATTCCCAGCCAGCAATCAGGTTTTCTTTTCATGTTTACTACATACTTTGATCCTAAGGTAAAAATGCAAAATTGGGGATTTTTACATCCCCATCGACACAATTTAGATCATATAGGAGGCAGGCCTCAACCCTGCAAGTCAGGCTAACCCAGACTCAGAGGGATACAACAGCCTTTGCAGAAAGACTGAGATACTCAATAAAAAGGCTATCAACCGTATGGTCGTGGGTTCGAATCCCGTCAGGGGACCAACGTGGTGTCCTTGGGAAAGGCACTTTACACGAATTTTCCTCACTTCACTCAGGTGGGAATGGGTACCCGGCTATAGACAGCGAAAGATCTTGTCAGTTTGTCAGTGTTTGAGCGTTTAATCAGCAGCTTGCACTGTATGCTTCTCGGAAAGCTGAGAATGTTTCGGAGTGTTCTATGGTCTGCTGGGGTAACAATATAGTGTAAAGCACATAGAGCCTGCTGTTGAGCTGGGATATGCGCTATACAAATGCTATTTATCATTATTATTATTTTAAAATTTCGGGAATTGAACTCAGGTCTTCTGTGTGCGATGGCGAAATGCCTACCTCCTGGACCACAGATGCAGGTTCCACAAATATGAAGATCCCGTTGCCCAGTCAGTAAGTGATAAAGACATCATAACCCAAGGATCAGTTGGTGTAATGCCGAGCATGAAGCCTGTGGGGGCTGATTTTTTCTTGTACAAGTAGGCTACAAGTATTAATTACTGAGAAATTGAGTTGCAAAACTTATCACTACAATGAGGAGAGGCAAAATTGTCTTAGGGGTAAGATTATGTCAGGGATGGGGATGGGAATGATAGAGGATAAATAGCAACAAAAACATACCCCAAAAAAAAAGGGGGGGGGGGGGGGGGCGCTTTTTGGACTCTATACGAACGACCATTAATTCTTTTGATTAGAAAGAAGAGTCTAGAAGCAGTGAAAGGGGTTGGGGGCATGGAAAGTGGGGGTGGGAGAGGTGAAGGGAGAAGAGGAAAGAAAGGGGGAGGAGAAAGAAAGAGGGTAGAGGATGAATAGATAAGATCAGGGGGATGAGGTGGAGGAGGTGAGACATTGTGCATCTTACTATCATTAACATTTCCATTTAAAGAGACAGTCTCATTTTTCTTCATTCATTATTTTTTGTTTTTTTGTAAAGTGTTTTACGGCGCTCGCAACTGCATAAGGTCATATGAGCACGTGGGGCACACCTAATATTTTCAGTTGGTAGGAAATTTTGAACTTTGCCCAGGTGGCGGCCGAAGCCTACTCTTATCGATTTTAGACCACCAGGGGATCTTTAACGTGCGCAACTTGCACACGGGCCCTCCGAGATTTTTCGCCCTTGTCCGAGAAGGCTAGGTGTAGATCTTTCCTACCAGAAGATCAGGGGTGTGGCAGAAAGACAGCAGTAAGGAGGAGCCAAGGAGTAGCAGTAGAAAGGCTGCAGAAAGAGTCAGGAGCCCAGAGGAGGGGGCAAAGGAGGTGAGGGGGTGGGGGCAGAAAGTGGAAATGAAAGCAGACAACAGAAAATTGCTAGAGAGCAGGAAAGGAGGTGAAAGGAGACAATTTTATAGAAGAAAATTTTTCGGTCGCTACCCGGATTCGAACCCGGGACCTTTGAATGAGAGGCCAACACCTTAACCTCTAGGCTACGAGAGCCCCCTTCATTAATTACTGCAAAAAAAAAGTAAAAGAGGCCAAAGAAGTAAATGTAGTTCTACTTTAACTTTGAAAAGAAAAAGAACAACTGCAGTGAAACAGTACCATACATCAATTTATTTGTTTTTTAACGTTGTAATTCATGTCAATAAAGTATTTTGTGGCTTAGAGGGGTTAGCACCATTCCACAAGTGTCTACATTGCCTGAAGTTTTGAGAAAATTAAGGGGGATGGATACATAAGGGACACAATTTTTAAACTAAAGACAAACTGAAACAACTTTTGTCACAGGCAGTAAGTATGAGACAAAAGATTCATGTTCAATTGTTGACACACTCGATTACGTAAACCATTGCTAAGGAAACGGCAGCCATCTTGAAAATTGGCTAAAATTTTTCTTCTCCACCATTTCTACAGTATTTAACTTTTTAAAAATTCTGTAACGTGCAAAACGTCACAAATACATAGGTGCCTGCAGCTGGCCATTTTGATTTTTGATACTATACTTAGAAAGTATCCAAAATTGTTCACAAAGTTGGGGATATGGAATTTGATCTTTAAAAAAGATTTTTGGCAGAAAAAATATATATGGTAAAACAAATTCTAAAGCAAAATGTAAAAAACTAACCAGCCCACTAAGAGTACAAACCATTTCTCTAACTACATGCCGAATTTCAAGTCTCTGTGTTGGAAAATTTAAAAATAGGTGGAGAAAAAAAAAAGAACAGCATATACACTGGCAAGCAAAAAGTGGTGAAAAAGTGTGTTTTGAGAAAAACAAGGTTAAACATAAAAAATGTTAGTACACAAAGTAGAACCAAATAAAATTGAATTCTGTTAATGTTAATCCAGCCGTGCAGTCTCAGCATTGAGAAGAATAGGACTCACATGGTGCTAGCGTGTCGTACGAGGCGACTAAATGGCGAACCAGGTAGTGACTCCTGAAACAGAGTCATCCTGCCTCCAGGTCGGGGAATGAGTCACGAGGCTAACAACCTCTCTCGTAAAAAGAACCTGTTACAGAAACACATACAAGCAAAAACCATTATCTTTGCTTGGCTGATCATGGATCTCCGAATGGAGAGTTTATGATGCAAGGCAGCAAATGCCGAAAGGAAGCTGCTGGCCAGAAGCCTCCACCATCATCCAAGTCCAAGACTCTTCGAATCGGCTCGTGGAACGTTAAGACCCTTTATGAGGCTGGAAAAAAAGCGCACAAGTTCTCCAAGAGATGCACCGATACCAACTACACATATTGGGAATCAGCGAGACCCACTTGAACCAATCTGGACAGAAGCGAATGAAAGAGGGGGAGCTTTTCATTTATTCAGGAAATGACAGTGATGGACCACACAGGGAAGGAGTAGGAATGGTCATAAAAAAATAGCGCAAAAGACATTCAGGGGTTGGGAAGCACATGGTCCAAGGATCATCATGGTCTCTTTTGGAACTAAGAAAGAACTCAAGGTAAGAGATGGTCGGAAGAAGGTCATAAACATGAACATCATACAAGTGTATGCTCCAACCAATGATGCAGAAGTGGAGAATAAAGATGACTTCTAGAACCGCATGCAGAGCGTCATCGACAAACTTCCAGGAAAGGACATCAATATTGTCATGGGAGAACTAAATGCAAAGGTAGGTTCAGACAATAGTCACTATGAGGAAATCATGGGCAGACATGGATTAGGAGAGGCAAATGACAATGGAGAAAGGTTCCAAAACTTCTGTACATTCAACAACCTGGTCATTGGAGGAACAATCTTCCCAAATAAAAGGATTCACAAGGCCACTTGGGTCTCCCCGGACCGAACAACGGAAAACCAGATTGACCATTTTTGCATTTCCCGAAAGTTTAGACGTTCACTGGAGGACGTCCGAGTCTTACGAGGAGCAGACGTTGCATCAGGCCACCATCTGATCCTTGGAAAGATGACACTAAAACTGAGAAGCTAATCACAAGTCACAACTGGAAATCGTCTAAAGTATGAAGTGAGCCTTCTGAAAGACCCAGTAAAGAAGAATAAGTTCAAGTTGGAACTGAAGAACAGATTTCAAGCCCTTCAAGATCTGGATGAATGTGAAGTCAACCAACACTGGGACAAGATAAGAGAGGCAGTAAATGCAACTTACCAGAGCACCCTAGGACCCAAAGACAACACCAGAAATGAATGGATTTCACAGGACTCACTAGACAAAGTCAAAAAAAGAAGAGAGCTGAAGGCCCAAGTCAACAACAGCTGTACTCGAACTGAGAAACTCGCTGCACAACAAGAGTACACCGAAGTAAACCGGGACGTAAAAAATTCCATCAAGAAGGACAAGAATACCTACCTGAATGGCCTAGCCGAAAATGCAGAGAAAGCAGCAACAGACGGGCACTTGCGGATTGTACACCAGACAACAAAAACTCTTTCAGGTAGGTTTGGCAAGCCCACCAGTGAAAGACAAAGAGGGAAAGACTATCTTCAACCCAGAGGGGCAACTTAACCGATGGAGAGAACACTTTGATCAACTCTTGAACAGACCATCTCCAGAAAACCAACCAGAAATTCTTCCAGCCAGAAATGACCTCCCAATAGTTACGGAACCACCTTCAAGAGAGGAAATTGCAGCCGCTATAAAAACACTGAAGTCCCACAAGGCAGCTGGTCATGTAACTCAATAGAATGACCAAACACAAAATGAGAATAGACATCTTCTTTCCTCTTGAAAAAAAAAAAGAATGGTGATCTGAACATATAACCTCAAATTGTATGGATTGAACTACCTAATTTAACGTATTCATACAAGGTATCTGATGCCATACAATCGGCGGATTCCAAGTAGTGTCCTTTTAGAAATTTTGATTTATAATAATATTGCTCCATTTATTATTTTAATATTA